TTTTTGCCATAATTAATGAGACTCACTATCTATTTGTATTCAGAATAAAAATAGTCATCCAAAGATTTTTGTATAATTTTATTTAAAATCAAATTTATCTCTTCTATTCTCATTTCATATTTTTTCCTAAAATTACTCTTTCCTTCTAATTTGAATTTCCATTGGAAAAATTTTGACCTTCTCCCTCCGATGTTCTTCCACTTTTCGTAGGTAACTGCCAAACTCATGGCTTTCAATATTTTTTTTCTTGATTCCTTCTAAAACAATTGTATATGTAGTATGATTGTTAGTTTTTTCATTTTTTTAAAAATCTTTATTACTTATTAATTTACAAGTCTTTCAAAATCAAAATAGATGATTTCTGTCCATGTATGAGGATTACGAGAGGTATGTCATTGCATGTCAATGTTGTTGATAATCCACCTTCGTTTCAATTTGGTTAACTCATGATTCTGGGTTAATGTAGAGTCTATGGCAAAACATAAACAAGTTTAAGTTGAACAATCTATTGAAGAATTGAGATCCATGAAAAAAAATGACCCAATGGCAATTCATAAAGTCATCAACAACGGAAAATCTAGCGGCATTAAGATTGTTGAAGGTGGAAGTAAGAGAAAAGTCATAAATATTAATTCAGAAGAGATTGAATCTGCCTCATCAAAACTGGACAAATCTAAAGAATATCGGGAACATCAGGTAGTTTAATTTATATACAAATTACAAAGTTATGTATATAGTGGTTTGTATATTAAGTTAATATATACAAATATTATGAAACAGTTCTTAATTGTATATTCTATTAGTTGTATACCAATTACTAAAGTTAGGTGTATAGTGGGTTGTATATTAAGGTAACATATACAAAGTCTTATGAGGCAATAACTATTTGTATACAATTATTTAATTTTATATAAAGAAATTTGTAAATCACTCTATAATATTATAATACATTATACAAATTCGTCGATATATACAAAAAATTATGAACATAATAAAATATTGTATATATAAGCGTTACACTCTCAAATATAGAAACATATTTCAAGCTTACTATATATACAATTAACAAATGAATATCATTAATACTTTTTTTTAAAAAAAAACATGAAATCACAAATACACATATATAACTATTTTATATATACCAAAATTATTGTACATTATACAAATTTCTAGAATTATACAAAAAGAAAAAATAGGAACATAATAAAATATTATATACAAAAAGATTACCTTACTAAAGTTAGGTGTATAGTGAATTGTATATTAAAGTAACATATACAAAGTCTTATGAGGCAATAGCTATTTGTGTACAATTATTTAATTTTGTATAAAGAAATTTGTAAATCACTGTATAATATCATAATACATTATACAAATTCGTCGATATATACAAAAAAATATGAACATAATAAAATATTGTATATATAAGCGTTACACCCTCAAATATAGAAACATATTTCAAGCTTACTATATATACAATTAACAAATGAATATTATATACAATCAGTTTAATCATTAATACTTTTTTTATAAAAAAAAAAAAACATGAAATCACATATGCACATATGTAACTATATTATATATACCAAAATTATTGTACATTATACAAATTTCTAGAATTATACAAAAAGAAAAAATAGAAACATAATAAAATATTATATACAAAAATATTACCCAAAAAAAAATTAAAAAGAATATATGATGGTCATATACAGTTTAAAACACAAAATCAATTACACACAAATATTATATAAAAATTATATACAATTTCGCAAGTATACACGATATAATCAATTTATATATAAATATATCTGTGTGTGTGTGTGTTTCATAGATTTATCTAAAAAAATTATAAAAATATTTGATTTTGAACTGGTATTGTCTTTCTATAGCTTTAGAATTCTTTTTATGGGGAAATATTTGATTTTGAATGTTTTGCTTAAATCATGGGATTATGTAAATTTATTGTTAGCATCTTTTGTGCTACTGTTACCATTTATTGAAAAATAATTATTTTTTTGTATAAATTTAATTTTAAAAAATATTTTATACAAATTTAGAGTCACTTAACAAACTAAACTATACCCATGGAATGTAATTATGTAAACTATACCCATGGAATGTAATTATGTAAACTATACCCATGGAATGTAATTTCATAACATCCGTTTGCTATATATGAAATTTTCCCATTAAAAATTGGGGGAAAAGGCGAAAAAAATACAATAAAATGAATTAAAAAAAGTGTTTCATGGGTTGGTAGTGAGTGTATCTCACTTACCATGTCATGTTAGCAAAAAGTGTTAAACTGACACAATGAAACATGACATGAGGTGTCTAGATACACCGGTTAGTTAAGTGTCTAAGTGAAAATATGTGCCATTTTTAGGTGGTCACTGACGAATTAAGCCTTTGATTAAAGTTATGGCTGACAAATACAACCCAAGTCCATTTTGATATGCTAAATCGATTCAAATTTCAATGAATTGAACATTGGCTATATTCAGAGGAGCTAAGTTTGGGTACAATCCTTTAGGAAAAATTATGCGGAGAAGCGAACATATACTAGTTAATCAGTTAATATAGATATAGTTTGAATTAATTATGGTTTGCAGCTTAATTTTAGCTTTAATTACATCACTTGTCCTTTTTTATACATATAGAAATACAAATTATACACATATATGTACAAATACAATTTGTCCTTCTCCACTCTTTGACCTTTTTCGCTCGCCTCTTTTCTTTCTCTCCCAATCTCGCTCGCCTCTTTCTTACTCTCTCAATCTCTCTTAGTAGATATACAAATACATATGTATATCAATTATATATATATATATATCAATTACATATATACAATTATTTGACAGATGTACATATACAGTTTACCTTTCTCCACTTTTTGCCCTCTCTCGCTTGTCTCTCCTTTTACCCAATCTCGCTCGCTTGATATAAAAATACATATGTATATTAAACATATGTATATATGTAGATATAATTATTTGACAGATATAAATATACAATTTGACAAATATACATATACAATTTGTCTCTCTCCACTTTGTGTCACTCTCGCTCGCCTCTCTCCTCCCTCTTCCTATCTCACTCGCCACTCTCCTCACAATAACATGTAGCTATAATTCATAATTAGTATATTATTTCTATAAAACCTAATTAAGCTATTTATAAAACCTAATTAAGCTATTTCTAAGTGTACGTCCATTTATTCTGAAATAGCCCAAACCAGTCCATTAGTTTGGACCAAGCTGACCCATCCAAGTGTCATTTTTTTATTTTTGTTTTGCTCGTATTGTCCTTGTGTGTAATTGGTTCTTTATAAATTTTTCAAGACTTCTTTCTATTTTTATTTGTATAATCACATTTACCAATTCAGTTACATCCTTCATTTTTCCTTTTCTTTTCTTTATATATATATATATATATATATATATATATATATCTT